GAGGGACAGCGCCCAGGCCCAGAGTTCAGGCCTCACAACCAGACCAAAAAATAAATAAATGTACTCATTATCTTGCCCATGTAATTGTAACCCCTCTGTACAGTATTTTCACAATAAAAATTAAAATTAAACTTTTAAAAATTCTAATGCTTCCACTCAATGATAACCTCTTTTTAAAATGGTTCACATTTCCTTATTCAAATAACCAGCTCACCAACTGCTCTTTCTTTTTTACTTTAAAACACTAGTAGAATCACAAAGAAAAGGTCATCTAATTTTTAACAAGAATTTGAGTTACCTAAGAGACATTTTTTTTTTTTGGTCAGTCGTGGGACCTGAACTCTGGGCCTGGGCGCTGTCCCTCAGCAATTCAGCTCAAGACCAGCACTCTACCACTTGAGCCACAGTACCACTTCTGGCTTTTTTATTCTGCTTATGTGGTGCTGAGGAATCGAACCCAGGGCCTCATACATGCAAGGCAAGCACTCTACCCCTGAGCCATCTTTCCAGCCCCCTAAGAGACATTTTACACACAGAAATAAAATACATTATTTTACAGGATTCATTTATCTTCAGTAAATTTGACATGTGTTATAAAAATACAATGTTGCTATTTGTCAACTGCAGATAATCAGCAATTACAAGGCAATGACCACTTTGCCAATTCTTTTTTTTTTTTTTTTTGGTCAGTTGTGGGCCTGAACTCTGGGCTTGGGTAATGTCCCTCAGCTCTTCAGCTCAAGGCTAGCACTCTACCACTTGAGCCACAGCACCACTTCCGGCTTTTTCTGCTTATGTGGTATTGAAGAATCGAACCCAGGGCCTCATGCATGCAAGGCAAGCACTCTACCACTATCCCAGCCCGACTTTGCCAATTCTTATCTTTAAAGCTCACTATGAAAGCCTGGCATAGTAGCTACATGGTAGCACACAATCAAGCAGTAGTCTCAGCTATCAAGAGGCTGAAGCAGTCTGGGCTATTTAGCAAGACTCTGAGCCTATTAAAAAAAGAAACAGGGGAGGGGAAGGAAAAAAACAAAATGCTTAAATAGGGATACAGGTTGACCCATCTTGAAAACGAACTTTACAACTTCAGGGGTGGGGGAGGAAGAGTTGGGGAGATGGGGAGGGAAAGGATGGTAGGGGAAAAACAAAGGAGGGGGTAACAATGCTCCATAGAAAATGTACTCATTACCTTACTCATGTAACTGTAACCCCTGTATACAGCATCTTTACAATAAAAAAAATACACATTTTTTAAAAGAAACAGTAAAGCACATGATGTCACCACCATTATAAAAATACTATACTCAAGCTGTTTGGGAAAGGACTTTCATGTGTCACTAATGAGAATCAAAATGCATTTAAGTCTTTGGAAAGTTAAATAAGCCAACATTTTAAGGAATCTTGAGCAAATTCTGGTATATTTATTAGACAGATATATAATGGAAACTAATTATTTAATGTCAAAAATATCAGGAGAGAGGATGAGGTGTGACTCAGTAGTAGAATACATACACAAGGTATTGGGTTGGATGGAAAGAAAGCACTACAAAAAGTAAAAACTATATATGAAATATAATTACAATTATTTTTTCATTAAAAGAAATGTACTGGGGGCTGGGAAGGTGGCTCAGTGGTAAGTGCTTGCCTAGCATGCATGCAGCCCAGTTCAATTCCTCAGTACCACATAAACAGAAAAAGCTGGAAGTGGCACTGTGGCTCACGTGATAGAGTGCTAGCCTTGAGCAAAAGAAGCTCAGACACAGTGCTCAGGCCCCCAAAAAGCTGGGAGTGGAGCCGAGGCTTAAGTTGGTGAGCACTAACCTTGAGGGGGAAAAAAAAAAAGGCTACGGACAGTGTCCAGACCCTGAGTGCCCAGACCCCACGACCAGCAGGAAAAAAAAAAAGTATTGGAAAGAAACACACAGAAGAAATTTTAGTAGGATTTCTTTGGATACTAAGATTATGACTAACATTTTCTTTTGTCCCTGTGCTAAATTTTACTTAATGAATATGTACTTGTTTGATGATGAAGTAATAAAGAGAGGATGGGAGAGCTTGAAATCTCAGCCAGTGAAGCCAAGGTCTGAAGATCACAGTTTGAAGTTGGCCCAACAGGAAAGTCTATAAGATGCTTATCTTCAAGTGGAGTGTAGTTCAAGTGGTAGTATACCAGCCTTGAGCAAAAAAGCTAAGGAACAGAGCCCAGGACCTGCATTCAAGCTCCACTACTGCCTAATTAAGAGCAATATCATTCAGTAGGTGTGCTAATTAAATATTTAACCTTTCTAGTCATCATAAGTAATAAGTCAGAATATATGTGCTGAAGGGGCATCTTGCCAAATTTTTTTTTTTGGGGGGGAGGTCCGGTCATGGGGCCTGAACTCTGGGCCTGGGCACTCCTCAGCTCTTCAGCTCAAGGCTAGTGCTCTACCACTTGAGCCACAGCGCCACTTCTGGCTTTTTTTTTCTGCTTATGTGGTGCTGAGGAATCAAACCCAAGGCCTCATGCATGCAAGGCAAGTGCTCTACCACTGAGCCACCTTCCCAGCTCGCATCTTGCCAAATTTTGTCACCTGACAAGTGTGTGAAAAAAGAATTATAGCCAGGTACTGATGGCTCATGCCTGTAATCATAGCTGTTTAGGAGGCTGAGATCTGAGGACTGTGGTTCAAAGCTAGCCTGGGCAGGAAAGTCCATGAGACTCTTAACTCCAATAAACTACTCAAGGCAGCCAAAGTGGCGCTGTGGCTCAAGTGGTAGAGAGCTGGCCTTGAGCAAAAGAAGCTCAGGGACAGCAAGGCTGTCAAGCCCCAGGACTGATATAAAAATAAAAATAAGAAAGAATTGTCTGGTGCTTTACACTTTACAAAGTATTGTCAATCTGACAATGCCTCATTTTAAGGATCAGGAAACTGAGAGGCAGAAATAATCTGCTTTTATAATAATGCTTACTATTCATGGGGGTTTACTATGTGCCAAGCTCTGGGTTAAGCCTAATCCTGTAAAATTTACCCCCATTTTACAGATTAAAAAAAAAAAGACCCATGAGACTCACGCGACTTCTCCAGAATCATACCACTAAGAGACACTCATTCAAAGCCATATATTTATAATAGAAACCTTCAGCAGTGGCTCATGCCGGTAATCCTAACTACTCAGGGAGGCTGAGATCTGAGGATCATGGTTCAACGCCAGCCAGGGCAGAAAAGTCTATGATACTCTGATCAACTAACCAGCAAAAAGCCCTAAGTATAATAAATGGGCTAAAGACTTAAAGAGAAACTTCTCTGAAGAGGAAAGAAGGATGGCCAATAGACACATGAAGAAATGCTCAACCCCTCTAGCCATAAAAGAAATGCAAATCAAAACAACATTGAGATACCACCTCACCCCAGTTAGAATGGCTATAATCAAGAACTCTAATAACAACAGATGCTGGAGGGGATGTGGACAGAAGGGAACCCTACTGCATTGTTGGTGGGAGTGTAAACTTGTTCAACCACTTTGGAAAGTAGTATGGAGGTTCCTCAAAAGACTCCACATAGAGCTCCCAGCACGACTATGTTTATTGCAGCACTCTCTACCATAGCTAAGATATGGAACCAACCCAGATGCCCCTCAGTAGATGAATGGATCAAGAAAATGTGGTATATATACACAATGGAATTCTATGCCTCCATCAGAAAGAATGACATTGCCCCATTTGTTAAGAAATGGAAAGACTTGGAAAAATTATATTAAGTGAAGTAAGCCAGGCCCAAAGAAACATGGGTCCCATGGTTTCCCTTATTTGCAATATCTAATATATGTCTGAGACAAGCAGAAAAGGTCAGATACGTTGATGTTAGGGAAAGGAACCCTAAGATATGTATTCAAATATTTTTTTCTTTCATGCGATTGTTTCTAACACATTTATAAGATTATGTCTTTGTTGCTTTGTATGTCCCTCCCCTGCTTTCACTGTATTTGATGTTGTTATAATTTGTAGAGGGGAAGGGAAAAAACAACTCGCTTAACTAGGGATACAGGTGGACCCATTGCAACAATGAGACGTACAAGTCGTATGTCGAAAAAACGAACTTTACAACTTTGGTAGGAGGGAGGAGGAGGGTTGGGGGGGTGGGCGGGGGAGGAAGGGATAGGAAGGGGAAACAAAGGAGGAGGCTACAATGCTAGATAAGAAATGTACTCATTATCTTGCCCATGTAATTGTAACCCCTCTGTACAGTATTTTCACAATAAAAAAAAAAAAGCCCTAAGTAAAAATGTGACTCAAGTGGTGGATCTCCAGCCTTGAGAAAGAAAAGCCAAGCAAGAACGCAAATCCTGAATTCAAGCTCCAATACTGATATGTATGCATAAACAAAACATAAGCGTTTAGTTGTACATAATTCAACTCTGCAGGGCCCCTTCGAGAAAGAATTGGCCTTTGACTCCAGTATCTGGGCTCTTTTACACCAGTCCTTGACTTAGTGTGGGGGTTAGGAGTGGATCGTAGTAGCAGAGCCCTGGGCTTCGCAAGAGCAAGACAGCACCCCCCCCCAAAATAAAAGAAAGAAAGAGGGAGGGAGAGGTGGGAGGGAAGTAGGAAGGAAGGGAGAAGGAGGGAGGGGGGGTAGAGAAAGTTGGTCTCAATGTCACACTGTGGATCCGGCATCAAAACCGGAAGGCAATGTTTAGTAAAGATCCAGCTCGCAAGTCACAGACATGGCACCTCCAATCCCCCATCTTCGCTCCCTCCAACTCGCAGAACTTGGCACCATTTTTAGGGCACCTTCGGGTTCATTCTCAAGGGATCAGCTCGGGGGCTGGCTGTCGGGGATGAATCCCACGTCACCCCCCTCCCCAAGGCTCGCCGCACAGAGCCAAGGCCGGAAGCCCCGGGAGCCTGAGCCCCTCCGCCCGGGCTCACGGCGGGAACCAGGCCCGGGGAGGCCGGGGTGGCAGGGCCGCCGCCCTCCCTGCCGGAGGGGACGGGGCGCCTCGCTACTCACGCTGGACCAGACGGTCGCCCGTGAAGGCAGAGGAGCAGCTGGTGACCAGTGCACAGGGGACGCCCGCAGCCATCGCCGCGCTCGGGAGCCGGTGCCGTCCGGGCGCCGCTTCCGCCTTGGGCTGTACCACCGGCGGCCGGCGTGCAGGGGGAGGGGGCGGAGGAGACTCGCGAGAGGCGCATGCGCTTCACTCGGCCGGCTCCACAGTCAACCCTTTTCCGCTTCCGGGGTGGAGCCGGCCGGGCTGCGCCGAGCGTTACCAAGGGAACGAGTGCCCGCCCCTCGAAGGAGGCGGCTACACCGGGAGGCCGCACCTCGGCTGAGAGGCGGCCCTTTCCCTCCCTAACCATGGCGCTGGCGCCTGACAGCCAGGACCCCATAGGAAGCATCTTAATTCAGGTGGGGAAACGGGCCTCCCTTGGCCCTTCATGGGAGGCCCCTCGGCGCGGGTACACACCTGGGCACCCATTTGGAGCATCGCACCCGCAAGCCTTCCGTTGCGGGGTCCCAAGATGAGGACCTTGTCTCCCCGACTTCAGACTTAACCTGGGCCCTGAGCCCTACCCTGCCCCCCAGACTCCGCCTCTCTGCTGGTCGACCTCGCTCTGAGCTCTGCCTTGCTTCAGAACAATCTTACCTCAAAACACCGCTTTAAAATCATCCAGCGGGCTGGGAATGTGGCTCGGTGGTAGAGTGCTTGCCTACCATGCATGAAGCCCTGGGTTCGATTCCTCAGCACCACACAAACAGAAAAAGCTGTAAGTGGCGCTGTGGCTCAGGTGGTAGAGTGCTAGTCTTATGCACACCGAGGCTGGGACAGTACCCAGGCCCTGAGTTCAAGCCCCAAGACAGGCAAATAAAAAATAAAATAATGAAAACTAAAAATAGATTCAGAAGTTAGTAATACTCAGGAGGCTGAGATCTGAGTATTGAGGTTCAAAGCCAGCCTGGGCAGGAAAGTCTTGAGAGACTTTTATCTCCAATTAACCACCAAAAAGCCAAAAATGGAGCTGTGGCTCATAGTGTTAGAGTGCTATCTGTGAGCACAAAAATTCAGGGAGAGCTTCAAGGGCCTGAATTCAAGCACCAGGATACACACACACACACACACAAATAAATTTAGAAAAAGAAAGGTGTGGTGACTCATGCCTGGCCTGTGTCCTGGCTATTCAGGAGGTTGAGATCTGAGTATTGAGGTTCAGAGCCAGCCTGGGCAAGAAAGTCTGGGTGAGTCTTAGGTCCAGTTAACAATCCAAAGGCTGGAACAAGCTGTGAGTTGAGTGGTAGAGCTCTAGCCTTCAGCACAAAAGCTGAGGGGCAGTGCCCAGGTCCTGAGTTAATACCTCCATACCCACACACAAATAAAAAAGAAGTAAAAATATGTATTCAGAAACTTTGGGCCAATGACTTAGGAGAGTGGAAAAGAAGCAAATCATATAGCTGAGGTGATAAGTTTGGGGAAAAATGGAAATGTGTAAGTTCTTTTTTCTTAGCACTTCAGTTTTTTTAATGCTTTATTTGGGAATGCATACTGAGGAAAAATACATTAAAGATCATTTGAATTGCAAGTTAACTTTTTTTTGTTGTTTCGGTCGTGGGGCTTGAACTCTGAGCCTGAGCGCTATCGCTGAGCTCTTCAGCTTAAGGTGAACCCTCAAGTTAACATTTTTAAATACAGAAATGTAAGCTATTAAAAAACCAAAATTTTTTAGTATTAAAAAATTCCTAATCCAAGGGAGAAAAATATAAAGTTTTGACTTCTCAGTGTAATTTGGTTTGTAAAAATTACACTCAGGGGCTGGGAAGGTAGCTCATCGGTAGAGCGCTTGCTTTGCATGCATGAGGCCCTGGGTTCGATTCCTCAGCACCACATAAGCAAAAAGAAAAAAGCCGGAAGTGGCACTGTGGCTCAAGTGGTAGAGCGCTAGCCTTGAGCTGAAGAGCTGAGGGACAGTGCCCAGGCCCAGAATTCAGGCCCCACGACTGGACCCCCCCCAAAAAAAAATTACACTCAGATTTTTCTGAAGTGGTTAAAGAGCGTTAGCATCTTTCCATGTGTATCATCTTTTTTCTCCCACTTTGGTGCTTGACCTTGGCTCTTCTCACTCTAGCCTTTTCTTTTTTTTTTTTTTCTACTCTCTGTGAGAGCTTTACTACTTGGCCTACACCCCTACTTCCTGCTGATTAACAGGAGATAAGTTTCTCAGATTTGTCCATCTCTGCCAGCCTTGAACCTTGATCCTCAATCTCAGCCTCCTGGGTAGCCAGAATTATAGGTATGCGCCACTTTAGGTCTTGTATCTTTTAACTCTGTTATCTGGCCTCACTTGACTAGAGCTTGAAATAATTTGTGGAAGGTCTCTGTCAGGACTCTCAGTAGGTCAGAAATGGGACTCATTTTCTCAGGGATCATTTTTTTCTGTCCAGAATTTTAATCTTTTTTTCCTATCTAGGTCTCTCTTAAATTTAACTTTCCCAAAATACAAGACCCTAAACACCATTTTCAAAGATATCCTATCACAAATTGTATGTTAAATCTTTCACCATCCTGTTATTACAAAGTAATGAGTTGAGCCAAACTGCAAAATCAAAGATCTAACAATCCCAACAGTGCCCTCACTTAGACCCCAGCACAAGTGTAGTAGTAACCAGAATTGTCCTCACGTAGAGCTGGCTACAAGTTTAGGGACCCTCAGATTTGATCAAATAACAACAACAAAAAAAAAACTTACAGAACTCCAGGAGGTACCACAATTACTATTATGATTTTATCACTGTGAAAGATAACAAAGGCCAAAGGCAAACAAAGAGACGCACAGGACAGAATCAAAGAGGCATCCAAATGGTCTCCCCTATGGAGTAATGAGACATCATTACCTCTTCCTAACCACAATGCCTGACAGTATGCTCAGGGTATTGCTAGCTGTAAGGTTTTGTTGAAAGGAGACCACCACATAGTTCAGGCAGAAAAGAGTTTATTGGTGGGGTGGGGGGAGCATATAGAAGCATGCAGGGGGTGCAAGAGATGTGGAGAAGGGAAAGGAAAGGAAAAAAGGGGAAACGGGCAAGGGGAAATCTGCAAGGGGGCCAGGGGCAAAACAAGGGACAGAACTAATGATGGAGACTCATAAATAGGGAGAGAGTGGGAGGAGGTGTGGCCCCAGCATCAGAAGGGGGGGGATCCTTCCACTGCCCCCAGGTGCACCAGTACACTAGCTACAAAAGCTTACTTGGGCCTTTGGTGGCTAGAGTTTGGGATTCAAACTCAAAGGGTCTCTCAGGCTGCAGTTCCTCCCAGACTAATGCTTTTAAGTTTCCTGATTTGGCATGGCTCAACCCCCCCATCAAAAAACCATGTTAGACTAATGCTTAAAGCACCCAGACAGTCACTTCTATCAGGCAGGAACGTTCCAAGGATCAAGTCATCACTTCTCAGTAGACAAGGGCAAAGGTGAGACCTCTCTTTGGGTAAAATTAAGTTTTCACCTCACATTATCCTCTTTTTATAGATCCAAGCTATCAGAACTCTAGTGGAGACACCTCCCTAGAAACAGCCAGTCTGCCCTGACTTTCAACCTCATGTTGATTACAGGAGCAATCAAGTTTCTCTAGTTCCCCAAACCTGGACTAGAAAAAGAAACTAGAATCCTGGGAGAATTCTGATTTCCATTTGCATAATTTCTCTTGAGGTAATTCTGTGTCAATAATCTATTCCCCTTTTGGTTTGGAATCCTGTATCAAAAACCAGAATTCAGTCGGGCGCCGGTGGCTCACGCCTGTAATCCTAGCTACTCAGGAAGCTGAGATCTGAGGATCACTGTTCAAGGCCAGCCCAGGCAGGAAAGTCCTTGGGACTCTTATCTCCAATAAACAATTAAAAAACTGGAAGTGGTGCTGTGGCTCAAGTGGTAGAGCGCTCACCTTGAGCTGAAGAGCACAGGGACAGTGCCCAAGCCCAGAGTTCAAGCCCCACGACCAACAAAAATAAAAAATTTAACTTTAGAATCCAGAGAAAGTTGCTTGACAAAATCTAGGCTACATTATAGTAAAAGATACTTGCTGATATTGAATTGTGAAAACGAGGGAGAAGAACTAAGGATAGTCATATCTGTATTGCTCAGTATACTGCTTGTTTAAGACAGGCTAAATGGAAGGACATTGAAGAGAGCTGACATTGCAATTTGGTTTTGAAGCTGATCTCTATGTAGGGTAAAGACTTCTCTATGTGGATGAAGAACTGTATGAGTTTTCCTAAGTACCAAATGAATACTAATGGGTTTTGTTATTGTTGTTTTGTTTTGTTTTTGTGAGTCATAGTGTTGGGAAAATGGAGGAGAATGGAAAAGGAACAAACAGGAATCGATCGTCAACAGGCAAGGACTGTTTTTTGAGAAACAATGAGGGGCACAGACCTTCCTGCGGGTTTAGAGGTTGTGCCAGAGAGTTGGGACAGGAGCTGGGTTTTTATCTGAGGTCTGAGCAAGGAGGCAGAGGTTAATGAAAAAGCCACTAGGGGAAGGGAAGTGGGGACTTTTCAGTTGGACCCACAAAGGGATGTTTACAGCTGGGTTTAGGGGGATTGCCCTGGCCGCACATTAAACAAGTTCACACATACCTGGGATTTTGCCTGTCTGTCTATATGGATCTGGGAAAATAGGGTTGGGGGTGGGGTCAATCCTTCACATAGGGCTTGAACTCAGGGCCTGGGCTTTTTCATTCAAATCTAGCACTCTACCACTTTGAGCCATAGCATGACTTCCTGTTTTCTGGTAGTTAGTAAGAGTCTCACAGACTTTCCTCCTTGGGCTTTGAACCACAATCCTCAGATCTCAGCCTCTTGAGTAGCTAGGATTACAGGCGCAAGCCACCAGTGCCCAGCAATACTGAGTATTTATATGAGTATATACCACTACTCACACATGCCAACATAGATTCCACTTCTACTTAGGGCTTTGATTAGTTCCTTCAGATGCCAACCATGGGTGCAACTAGTAGGAAAAGCTCTCGGTTAGGAGAATACTGAGGGTTGACCCTGACTTTGACATTTGCACAAGTAAGTACCTGTGAGTGAAACATTTCATCTCTATAGACCTGTTTCCTTT